GAAATACAACATAATTAACTGAAGTTTTGAAATAGTAGAACACTCTTCAGGCATGCCTAAGAAATAAAACCAGTATTAACTAATATGTAATCTAAAAAATTATTTTTAAATTACAGTAACTTTGTTTGGATACATATTCATGCACCTGTTGGAGTGGGTCCAGAGAAGGGCCACAAAAATGGCCAGAAGGATGAAACACTTCTCCTATGAAAAAAGGCTGAGAGAGTTGGGGTTGTTCAGCCCAAAGGCTCTGGGGAGACCTTACTGCGGCCTTCTGATATGTAAAGGTGGCTTATAAGAAAGAGAGACTTTTCACCAAGGCCTGTAGTGACAGGAAAAGGGGGACCAGTTTTAAACTGAAAGAGAGTAGGGTTTAGATTGGATATAAGGAAGAAACTTTTTACAGTGAGGGTGGTGAGACCCTGGAACAAGTTGCCCAGAGAAGCTGTGGATGTCCCATCACTGGAAGTGTTCAAGGTCAGGTTGGATGGGGCTTTGAGCAACCTGATCTACTGAAAAATGTCCCTGCCCACAGCAGGGGGTGGGCTTAGATGATCTTTAAAGGTCCCTTCCAACCCAAACCTTTCTATATTTGCCAGCTCTCAAAAACACCTTACACGTAACTCCTAAAGCTAGACTCTCATACTAGACATTTATATTATAGATTAAATGCCATATGTTTGTGTAAAAGCAAAATGTGTTTTTGTATCTCATTTCACAGGTTCTGAGTGCCAATGTGCACTACTTGTCTCAATGTAAATAAGGTAGCATAGGGTTTTGCCATGTTAAAATTAATTTAACTGTATTTTTAAGTTACCTTATATTATTTTCTTTTGGTTTACTTCCCCACCATAACTCCATGACAGTAATGTGTTTGGATGCTTTAATTGTGCTGTTCCATTTCTAAATACGTTTAGACTTCTTGTGAATTTAAGCTTCAACTTCATTTTTGGGGGGAATCTTAGTCTGGGTATAGTTTGATCTTTAACAGTGCTCTAAATTACCATCAGTGATTCTTGTACATCAATACTACAGCACTGAGAATACTCTCTAGCTGCTTTATGCCATGCAAAAAATATAAAGCAGAGAACAAACAAATGTTAGTTACATTCACTTCTCTCCTTCAATTTCTCTTTGCCTTCTGCCTGCACATTATGCTCTGCACTCTCCTTTCTGCATGCATGTACACACCAGAGATACCTATAGCAAGGGATATCTCTCTTCTGTCTGAAGGCATCCACTGTGATAGGTACTTTTCTAGAAAGAGCTATTCTGTGATAACAGCTATTTTTGCAGGTTTTCTTCTGTCAGATGCACTTTCAGTTAGGAAGAGGTTGTGGTATACAATTTTCTCCTTCAAAGAAATTCTTAAAGAATGGCTCTTTCAAATTGGCAGCCATATCATGTCATTCCTATGGGAGAGAAGTCAAGCTACTCTCAGTGAAAGATGGGGCCAGATACACTGTCAAATAGTGAAGAATATAGAGTTCCACTGAGAACAAATATGAGAGAGAACAGTTGTGAAAAAGGCATCATTCATTTCTGTACACCTTGTATCTTTAGCTCTACTGAGCACAACAGCAGGTGGCAGTCAAATTTAAAGAGGGTAATTCAGAGAGGAATTCTCCAAGACATAACATTATGCTCCAGAATTAATATAAGAAAAAGTGTAATAAAAATGAACAAAAGTGACTACTAATCTCCACGCCAGCTGTGGAGTCTTGTAAAATACCTACTACGCACAAGACTTCAGGGGAAAGCTACTCAAATCACTACGGTGGTTAAAAAAATCCTCCCAGGGTTTTGCAAGACCATTTTACAAGCAACTTCAAGCATGGTACCCTGTGATTTTTTTAGTATTGTTTTTTTTTACATTCTAAGAAAATCCATGTATATAGAGAACAAGTGCTACACTACGTAAGTACATGGCCCCCCACTCACAGAAGACAGGCTGATTCTTCAATGCAGTATTTAGCTTAACGAGCAGTTCTGTAAAAAGCAGCTTTATTGCTTGTTTTTAAGCAAAGTCTGAAGGATAAGCCAGTTAAAGGAAATCATAAACTCGATTTTGGGCTTGCCTCTTCCACTAACAAAGCCTAACCAACTCCAGATAGCAGAAGACAAGCATCTGGCACCATTGTGGAAAGCTCTTGGTTTTTTTGCAGAGTCCTGTCTAGTTGAGTCTTACCCAGGTGCTCAAAGCTACATACAACGAAAACAATCCAGAATCCTGTATTGAAAAGGAGTGAAAAACTGAGCATACAATACTGAAAACAGCTACCATATCTGAAGTTATTCCTACTAGATAATATTGTTCAATAATAATCTACAGGCGTCATATGAGAAGTCATCCAGCCCACAGTGAGCTTCACGATACCCTCTTTTCGAGGGTGGTAACAAAAAGCAGGCTACAAGTGAGGGTACTTCTTCTGGAGGTTAAAGCCACTCGATCACCATCACCCTCTCTAGTGATCCCTTAGCCTCTTTCTCCCAATCACAAGGTGGACAGCAAATCTTTGACATGATGATGTGAAAGTACACAGGTTATCTCTGCTAAAATACCATGTTACACACCGTGCATAATCCCTCACCCAGGTTGCCTTCATCATGACAGACAGGAAGTGGAAAGCACTGCAAAAAGTGTTTGTCGACAACAGCCTCTGCCCATAAACTTCCTTACAAGAACAGCTCCAGTCACAAAAACTCCTTTGCACATGTGCTATACTAAACATGTGGAAAAGCAGCTGTACTTCCTATACATCTGATCTAGAAATTGCAAGTAATTTTAAAGATTCGAAAATGCCTTAAGGAAATGCTTAAACTAACTAGAAAGTTCTGATATTAATAAGTGGATGTAAAAGAAAGGAAACCTAGATCATATATGGAAAATATCAACTTTTAAATTGCCAAAGGCAGAGTTGTGTAACTGGTAAATTCCTGATCATGTTTGTCTATTAGACTAAAGCCACAGAGGTCCATTATGCTAAGGCTGATATAACTCTACTGAAAGCAAGAATTGAAAAGGCTTAATACTTCACTTCCAACATAGCTTCAAAAAAGAGAATCTAGCATCAGTTAGATATACATTACTGCTTTTCTATGCTATTTTGCTGAGTATGGCGATTAAACATTGGTAGACTACTGGCAATTCAACATTCGTAATGCTGGCAGTTAAAAAAATGGAACTATCCAAAGTAACGTAATTAATAACATACAAAACAAAACCAACATAGATTAAGATATTACTGCTCCAAGGAGAGAAATTCACTTCTCAAATTATGTTTTGAAAAAATGTATCTAAACGCTGTATTAACTGCGGACATAGACTGGGCAGAGTAGGAAACGAAACTGACCGCTGATCTGCAATTACACTTGTTTCACAAGACAAGTATTTAGTTTAATAGCAAAAAG